TATTATTAACAGTAACATGTTTGTCTAGCTGGAACTTCAGTAAAAGTTGCAGAGAAATAAGTTGTCGATAGTGTCTGATCATCGTTGGGTAAAAAAGATACGAAGTTATAATATGTCGTATACTACTATATTTTAGTACAATGGACGAGAGCACGATGGTAAAAGCAAGGTGTGGAAACCTCGTTCATAACTTTAGAAAACAGACATTGCGTGGTTTGAATTTTATGCCCACAACGTATAGATTTCAAAGGAGATCAGTTGAACTTAAGTAATGGAAAACTGTATTGAGTCTTTGACTATACCACGACCTACCTTTTTATATCAATGTCTTTTTTACCCAATCGCAAACCTTAGTGCTGTAATTTATTGTCCTTCTAATGAATACACGGATCAAATTTAATTGGTGATAAGTAGATGGCGATACTATGCTGGGTACTATTTCGTAGTGTACATAAGATTGCTGTGATGCGTATTTTAATCAGCAACTTGGAACGGTTTGTTTCCATACCTTATTTCGTTTTACCACCGTGGACGAAAGTAACTCGTATGTGGCTGCACTTGTCGTTTTAATTTTCTGCCCTTACGGAGGACAAGGGTAAGACGGATTTGTAAGTAAAAGTTTTAATGAAAGAACCGCTAAAATTATGCGACAGTGGATTCTATGAATGTCAGCTTCTTGACTGTTGTTCATGATTATAGATTTAAAGATTTTTCGTGCAAGTAACTATATCTATGCAGATTATATGTTACCTTGAAGTACAGGAGATATTTTCAGGCAAGATTAAACTGCCAATAGCATTCAGACGACTATAGCAGTCAATAATGTTACAGTCACACAAGCGGGACCTGTAGGTACTTTTTTCTTAATTTTTATTACAAAATGAGGATGGATTTCCCTTTAAGTTAATTTCGTAATACATATAACGTCTCAAATGATTTTTTTGTGGTACATTTTTAGTGCATAAAAAAATGAATTGTAAATTGTAAAAGTTTTACAAATATAAAATAACCTAACATTAATTAAAATTAATTATTATTTAAAAAAGACCGTGTTTCCGATGTTCAAGAAATTCACTTGAAAAGGTGCGCTGGAAAAATTTGCTCTTGAAGTTGAGCTATTAAAGCTACTACAACGTTTGACGTTTAATAATCGAGTGCCAACATAATATTTATTGCAATAATTATTATTATTACTTATTTGTGCTCGAATGAAATCGCAATTTTATAAACGGAGTAAAATAGTATATTATTAGCCAAGGTTGCAGAGCCAAGCATTCTAGACCGAGCGCAAATTAGAACCCGAGACGCGCAGCGTCGAGGGCTCTAAGTGCGAGGTCTAGAAGTGGCTTTGCAACCGTGGTTAATATACTATTTTTTTCACTAGTAGAAACCATAAGACAATAAACTGAAAAATAAACGTTCAATTTTTTGACCCAACATGATTTTGTTTTGATTTCTAATCAAACTTGATCTAAATCTTCAACACAAAGAAAACCGTTTATACTTGTCGCTGAGTTAATCATTTTATCTTCTATTGTCTACCAACTACCATGCGTATACTCAAGTAATGTTTGTAGCACACATTTGTTCATTTTTTAAGAAATAATCACATCAAACATTGCGTACATAACCTCAATTTTTCTTTTTGAACCCGTGGTAGCAAAAGTTGAATTTGCTACCACTAAATGAGTCGACATTTGCATGCGTCCAGGCTGCTAGTGAAAAAAATATATTATATGTTACTTTCACCAAAATGAACATACTTCACAATACTTTCGGTATCTCGCCATCTTTACATTTGTTATGCTATTCCTCCTTTTCGGTGTTTGTAACATAAATAACTGTTATCTGCAAACAATAATTCAACAAAACCGATTTTAGCAAATGGTGCTTTATCATTCCTTACATTTAAATCGTGTGTAACTAATGAATTACCTACGAAGCAATGGCTTAAATCATTTTAGAGCTTTCGAATGATTTCGATTAACGTTTGGTTAGAAATCTTTTCATGATTTGGAGTATCATCTAACGCAATCTCTTAAAAAATAAGAATTATTTCAGTAATGACTTTTTTTTTATTTAGAAGGAAATCGCTTATTTTATCAAAACATAAATGCTATTAGAACTGGCAAATAGAACGTGGTGCAACTTTTTCGGTGGATTCTATTTACAGTGAAGTATCGTTCGATTTATAAAGTGCTGTCAACAAAAAACGTTCTCTTACTGGTGCTGGACAGCCCAACTGATGTCTTTATCATCGTCTGCTACACCTACATCACATATTATTTATATCACAATACATATTTTATAAGCAGGGGTAGATATAGATAAGATGTCGACTAACTGTCTTCCAGAGGTGTGTAATTTAGTCAACAAAAACTTGTGAGTTACTTTCTAGCGGCTAACGCCGCACGTCTTAACTTACAATGTTCTTGAAATATTCTATGAAAAACCTTTTTTAATTTAAAAGACGAAACATTTTATTTTTCTCCGCGTAGTAGACTTTTCATTTCTTTGTGAAAATACACAAATCCGTTAAAAATATATATTTACATTGCAATTTAAAAAAACACAGGTTATTGGGAGGAGGTTAATGCTGAACTTGTTGACACCAACTTGGAGCAAACGTTCAGAAACAAGTTAAGAACAGTTTCCGAAAACTGGATTGTACATATTTAAAAATGAGTTAACAGTTTCGGTAAAAATATCCTTCAAACTTTGGATAAATTCTAAAATATTAAAGTTAATTAGTCACAAAAGTAGTTTATGGAGAGCGAACCGGTGCACAGCAAGATTATCTGGTGCATCGGAATTTCTTAAACAAATTATCTTTGATCATTAAGGAGGCCAAGACAAAGTTTTAAAAGTGAACTGCCAGCAATAAAAATTCAAAAAGTTTTTACAAATACGTTCGATTAAGGCTAACAGGTCCCATTAAAACTTCTTGTTTAAAAGATGATGGTAATTTAATCAAAAGTTGCCAGGAACCAGCGCTAATACATTTTCTTAAATTTTTATAGACAAAACACCTCTCGTTGTTAGCGACCTTAAAGTTGAAGCTGTTCCATGCCACGAAACACTTGCTTTGATACACTTCATTTTTGGAAAATTAATTAAACCAAAGAATGGAAAATTACCGGGTCTCAACAATATTAGCATCATATCGCTAAAAAACTATGCCAGTACGTTTAACTCTGATATTAGACCCTCCTATTGGAAGAGTGCGATTACACGGCCAATTTATAAAAAAAGGGGATAAATTCAACTCTGAAAATTATTGGCCGCATTTTTTCCAAAACATCAGATTGTACCTCCACAGCAGCACGGGTTTATTCCCGGAAGATCCGTAATTAGAAATCTCGTACGTTGCATCTTGCATCTGGAACTGGATGAAAAATGTTGATATTGGTTACCGAGACATCCTCGGTTACTAAAATTATGTCACTATAGTATAAAAGGTGATCTTCTTCATTGGGCAGGCGAATTTCTCAAAGATCAATCCTTCAGAGTTAAAGTTGGCGACTCAGTTAGCCCTTCGGTCCAGGTACATAGTGGAGTTCTAGGGATCCATTTTGAGCCCGTTGCTGTTTATGTATTTGCAGCAAATCTAGTAATCAAATTAAAGTCCCTCTTCATATTGTTTGCTGATGATATAAAAACTTTTCAACAGAAGTTCAAATGTACAGTTCTGTGTATAGGCAAAAATAATCCCAGAGACAGCTATTGGACAACGAAGAGCTAGAGAAAGTTGATTCTTGTAGAGATCTTGGGGTATTCATGATTTTGGATCTGTCTTGGTCGGAATAACATATTGCCTCTATTGTCAAAAAAGCTAATAAAATTTTGTATCTTTTACGTAAAACTTTTGTCAAAGCCGTGTGTTCGGTCCACCTAGCTACACCCAAGGAGAAAGGGTGCATCAGACTCCACCCTCTCACCCACCACTTTTACTTTCAAAATAAATGTAAATATTTTATAGATTCGAGAATAAACCGTCATAGAGTAAAGCCGTGTCTCATTGAGGCTAAATTTATAGCTTCAATTTTGGTCACCCATTGTGACTCTCATCATTTTGGTCACCCATTGTGACCTGGTCCTTCGAGAAAACACAATTTTCCTTAGGTCACCCATTTATGATCTATCACCGTGTCTTCGGTAATTTAAAGGACACGGCCCATTTTGGATTTTGCCACTGAAGTTTAGGTTCCCATTTTACAAAAGGGATTGGAGCCGTTCAACGGAAAGCAACTTAGAATTCCTGTTGGAGTAGAACGTCCAGAATATCTTGGGAGGTTCAACTAGATGGGACTCGCGTTATTATAGGATTAGTGATAAAAACGGGAAACCAATGTATTGCATATTCATATTATAGTGCACTGACTAAAATAATAAAATAATTAATCACTAAAACATGTTTCGTTCTACATACTAACTACCGTACGAAAAATACACATTTAAGTTAACTACAGAGAAATTTAACACCTTTATTTCGGATAGCGTATTCAACTTATCCAATTCGTTGCTTCCGGAAACTGTGCAGAGTAAAACTGTTACTGGGTTTAAGCCAAATTTGATGCCTATTTTAACATATTTCATTTTTAACACTTATATGAAATAATTAGAATACCTAACATTAATAACGGCGCGGGCATAATAGGTTTGCACCTCAGCCCGACCGCCTTACAATAATAATAATAATAACACAAAACGTTAAAAGTCGTAATGTATAAATTACTCTAAATTTCCTCGATAATAATTGTACATTAAAATAAACTGGCCGAAATTTAATTTTTGACGTATACAGCAAAGAGGAAAGCTTACTTTTAAAGGCAGTCATAGAAAAAATATTTTTTTTACTTTATCTTTTAGGGTCGTGTATATTTTGTCATTATTTTTACTTACAAAAATTATATGCGTTACTTTGTCATCATTGTACCATAACTAAAATCATAGTTTAACACACATTTTATTAGATTTTTAACTTATTATCTATTTTTCAGAAACTATAGGAATGACGCAACTGTAGTTTATTTTAAATTACTCTGCTGTCTTACTCGGAGCCACCAAAATGAGCAGTCGTTCTAGAGAGAAAGTTACAGCAATGTTCCGAAAACTCTTCAAATCATCCAATAAGGAAGGAGAAGGTCCTAGCAAAGCCAGTGCTTCTGGGTCTGGATCTCCTGCCCGTCGCTTGTTACGGGGATGTCGTGATTCCGTTTCTCCAGCCGCTCCTCAAAGCAGTCCTGTATTTTCAAATGGTAAAGGGAAGAAAGGTGAAGAAATACCATCTCACAAAACTGTCCGCGCTCGTAGACTCATGAAGGAATATCGTGATCTACAGAGACTCCAAAACTCTAAAACGGACCCAGTGTTCAACGTCGAGTTAGTTGACGATAATTTATTCGAGTGGTATGTGAAAGTGTATAAACTAGACTCTGAAAGTGAGTTGGGTAATGATATGAAAGAGTTGGGAATAACTCACATATTGTTACACTTAATTTTCCCTGAAAACTTTCCTTTTGCACCCCCGTTTATGAGGGTCATTTCTCCAAGAATAGAGAAGGGATTTGTTATGGAGGGTGGCGCGATTTGCATGGAATTATTAACACCGCGGGGATGGGCGAGTGCTTACACAGTTGAAGCCGTTATCATGCAATTCGCCGCCAGTGTTGTTAAAGGTCAGGGACGGATTCAGAGGAAAAATAAAGGTCAAAAAGTGTTCAGTAAAAGGACGGCTGAGGAAAGTTTTAGATCACTTGTTAAAACGCATGACAAGTATGGCTGGGTTACTCCCAGTTTAGCAGATGGTTAGTTAAGCTTGAGACATGTCCACATATTATCGAATCCGTTCCGTTTTAACAGTGTTATCTGAATGTTCAGAATAGATATGTATTTTATGATAAATCTGTGTATACTTAAATATTAACTACTCTTACTATTGTCTAATCCTCTATTGCTAATATTTTTAACGTATGCGGGCTTCCTGTCGAACGATCAATCTCCGCACATTCAACACCTAGATCTAAATGTAAATTAGTTTCCACTTGCAAAAGTGGTTAATCAACCACACTGAAGTACAACTAACTTTTATCACTCCTAAGTCTTGCAACTTACCCTGAACTGATAAACTTTGCTTTTAAATGATTGTTCGTTGGATTTACCAGCCCCTTTTCAGCCAAATCAGGTGGTTTGAAGCGCATTCCTTGTTGACTGAGGTAACTTAATTTATGTAAGCTTGAACATTGCATAGTTAAATGTGCTCACCAGATGTCAGTTCTTTTACGCAACGAAGCAGTGAATATTATAAATCTTTCCAAAGTTGCTATTATAGGTATTAATCTTGTTTACGAGAATCAATTTATCAAAATTCGTAATAAGATAAGATATAAGATTACTGCATTCGTTTTGTAAAGGTTCCATCTAGTCATTTTATCTAACTCGGCTTAAAAATTTTGAAGGTATTCAAAACTTTTATGCTGTAATTGATGTTTCACAAAATACTTACTTATCCAAAGAATATTAAGAAAAATGTGCTCTAGTACTTGTTAATGATATCGTCTTTCTTTCAGTTACGATTATTTACAAATTTCAGCCATATTTTCAATTACATTTCTTTGAAAAGATTAATAAAAATGTTATTTACACTGCTTGTAAATATATTCAGAACATCTCGAGTAAAATCGATGGGCGTATGTGTCGCAAACGGATAGAAATTTTGGAATTTTATGGATCCCATTGTTTTTCGTTTTATATATATCTATATGCATACATATATTAGTAGTCTTGGTGTCACGACTTTTTTTTGTGTAAGAACACTCGTTGGATGTTATAACGGACACTGGTTTATTATTAAAAATATATTGAGAAAAAATGCTAAATGTGCCAAAAATTTTCAAGATTTTAGAACTGTGCAAAAACTAATGCACACGGTTCAAACAAAAGTTAAATTATTTCTGAAAAAATAACAGTGCCACTTTTTGTAAAAACAATACTAAAATATGCAATTACTCAATAAAGTCGTTTTTATATGTTGTTTTAATTTCAATTATTTTTTTTAACTCTGGGTGTCGTACAAAACTTCCCAGAACACCTTGTAGGTACCTACGTAGTTGTATAATTATACATTACCAAAACCACGAAGCTTGAAAGATAATATAGATATATAAAGATAAATTAGAGTTTTTCTTTTGAGCTCAATATAATAACATTTGTAGAATTTCGCTATCTCAATCCGTTTTAGAGATATATGCCCGTAGAGTTTCAAGTAAGACACCACATGTTTTTCTACCTACAGGTGAATGATACAAATTCTACTGTCGATTAGAATTAAATTATTGGATATATCGACAACAGGTATACTTATGGATTCTAATTGTTAATATAAACTTAGGCAAATGTTATTAAAACCAATCAGACAATGTTTGACACACTTGGTTTCATGTTCTTGCACGAATTGACTTTTACTTTGACGATCCAGTAGACGTAGGTTATCTAAAAGTTATTATATACATAGTATTGATATTGGTTTACAATAATTAATTGTATATTGCACAGCGAGGTGGAAAGTGTTATTATTTTCAAGAGAAAACAATTCGAAAAAGGAATTAAACTTTCTAAGATGCTTGTATACTATTTTATTCATAATCGTTGTAGGTAACTTTACAACACAATAAAAATGTCCTAATTTAATACGTTATACGAGTTAATGTATGTGCTGAAAAATGCAAAAATTAAGATTTATAATTTGACGAATTCTTTACGTTTTACGTGACATACGTCACGTCGCTTTTCATCCTATCTCATGGGTGGAAAGTAACGTATCTACGCGGGATGGAAGTGAAGTCAGTACTGGCTCACTTCCAATCTTTTAAAAAGTTTGAAAGTGTCAGATTACTGACCGAGTGTGAATAAAAATAATAATTTAGATAACCTAAAGTAAACTGGATGAATCTAAATAGTTGTCGTGTTGTTGTCATCAACGTTTTAACCTCTTTCGGAATTAATATACATATTACTAAATTTTCCTTTCTTTTATGTTAGTTTGTGCCTAATATTTACACCAAAGCAGTCAAACAAAAAGGCTAATGTTCAAAAAATTGAATGCTCATATTATGAAGAAAAATATATTTTATAGTACTTTTAGTAGGTAATTTTAAATAGGTGTACTATATTAATTATTGTACCTCTCAAAATTGTCCACAAAGCAGTATTTTAGCGAATAGTGTTATTGTAATTTGTTGTTAAATGTGTATTTTTTTATTTAATGTTTTGTCTTCCAAGGCCAATTCTTTGCAATTAATTTTATAATTATAACATAGGAGATTATGATCATTATGATAATTGTTATTTAATATTACAATAAATGTACCGATAAATGTTTTTAATCTTTTATACCCCGTTATAATGTAGGTAAAGAATTAGAAGAATTATACCTACAGGGTCATCAAAATTGATTGAGAGAGTTGGTACCCCCTGTTTTTGTTGTGAAGTTTGTCAACCTTATGACAGATTTGTTTAAGGTTATATGGCAATGAATTCAGTGGCGTGACAAAAATTAGAAACTTCAAATCTGACAACTAATGTTTTTACCAAAAAAAAAAGTCGAAAAAAGACGCCACTGAGTTTTGAAATTTGAAACTTGAAACTTCAAATCTGACAGCTAATATTTTTATACAACTTAATAAACCAAATTATTCAAGTTCAGGTTTACCAACTCTCTCAATCAATTTTGATGACTCTGTACACCATATGTTTCGGTATGATTTCAAATTTTTACAGTAATAAATCTAATAATGTCATTAAAAGTTACTTTATTAATTATTTTTAATATTATTTCTGACAATTTTTGGTATTGATTCGGAAAATGCTCAAAATTAAATAACAAGTCGCCCTAGAAAAATTTCGGTCCATAATTTTTCTTTATAAAATCCGGTTACCTATAAGAAAAACATCGAAAATTTTAATTTGTAAAATTATTTCTTTTATTTGAGTACTTCAAATATTACTGAACTGTTAATAATGTCGTTCACAGCCACGAAAAAAGTTACTTATATGTCCAAAAAAAAGTTAGAATGAGGCGCAGCCAATGTTAAAAGGAATTCCCGCGTTTGGCGCATGGAGTTTTCAACACATTTTGATTTTAAATATAACCTGTCCTCAATTTGTGCACAACGCAAAAGCAGTTTTTTTTTTAAACAGTTTATCATCATTTTCTTTTTTCCATTTTGGTGAAATTTTTCATCAATAGAGTAGGTTACAATACATACCACGGAGGTTAATTGATTAAATACTCCGTGGTACGTACCACAGACCGGTAAATCAGATGTTTACTAGTTTGTCGCGGTCACAGACCATTAAACAAATAGGAAGACAGTTCATTGCCATTTAATCGTATAGTCTAGGAAGCGACACTAGCGCTGCGCGAGCGGCTGGAGCAAACACTCATTCGCTTATACTCGTGTAAATTTCGTAATAGATCGTGTTTACTGTCAACAAATATCTCCTTTAACGTCATTCAAATTCAAACGCCAAATTATAATTTTTTCAAAAGGTTTTCAGTAGTAAGTTTGGTGGCTATTATATCTGCTATTTTTAAGTCATATTAATATAGTTTTACTTGCTTCAGATACAACGGAAATGAAAATTATTAATAAATATCGATGCAAAGTTCCAAATTGTCCGTCAGTATACGCAACAGGAATCAACAAGAACAAAAATAAACATTTTTTTATTTTTCCTAAATCTCCAGTTCAAAAACAAAAGTGGATAGATACCATTAATGCCTCCTGCACAGAAAAAATTGTTGTTAATTGTAAAAAAGCTTACATTTGTGAAGATCATTTCAGTAAAAATTACTTTACGAGCACCGCACAAACGAACCTTCATAAATACGCAATTCCCACTATTTTTAAGGACAGTAGTCAAGCTGTGATTAATACTAATGGTGATGGGTATTCCAGTAAAAGTGAACAAAAAAATTATAAAATTTTTATTTTTTTAGTCGGAACTATTCCGGAATCTGAGTATGATGGTAGCGTAAATTCACAAAGACGCAAACGCCATTGTGATACTCTCACGACAATATCACATACTCCGAAAAAAAGAAAATATTCACCCAGTGTTTTGAAAAAGGTAGGATGCAAAAGAGTGGACGACTTAACTCCTAGAGAGCAAACTTTATTTAGAATAACAAAACGCCAGAAACAGGCAATAAACAGATTAAATTTAAAATTATGTAAATCAAAAAAAAACTTGGATCTTCTAAAACGTGCTCCCCAAAATCATCTAATTAACATTTTACAAGAAAATTGCAATTCTGTAAGTGCAAGCTTCATAAAATCCCAATTTGATAACATGAAAAAAAAAATTCCTAGATGGTCAACTGAAAATAAAATATTTGCCTTGGCTATGTACAAAAGAGGTCCAAAATGTTATCGCTTTTTAAAACATTTTTTCAGACTTCCGTCAAAAACAACTTTGTACAAATTTTTGAAAAATATACCTTTTGAATGTGGCGTGAATGACGAACTATTTGATAAGTTAAAAATGAGAATTGAGAAACTGAAACCAAGAGATCGATTATGCAAGCTTATGTTTGATGAAGTGTCTTTATCTACAAATTTAACCTATTCGAGATCTACTGACAAAATTATTGGTTTTGAGGATTTGGGATCTTTAGGACGAAATAAAAATTATGCTAACCATGCGTTAGTATTTATGATACAAGGTATTAGTTCCGGATGGAAACAACCAATAGCGTACTATTTTGTTAAGGACTCTATTAAAAGTATAAAATTAAAACTAATAATTAAAGAAATTATTAGCAAACTTAATATGGCCGGCCCAAAAGTCATATGCACCGTTTGTGATCAGGCCAGTTCGAATGTAAAGGCTCTACGTTTGTTAAAAGAAGAATCAAATGTAGAGTATAAGGAACCATACTTTAAGGTAAATTCAAAAAAAATTGTATGTTTATATGATAGTCCCCATTTATTGAAATCATTAAGAAATGCTCTCCTTAAATATACGATTTATTATGATGAAACCAAGAAAGCTAAATTTATGTATTTGAGACAAGCTTATCAATTTGATAGTACTCGAAGATTTCAAACTTTGCATAAAATCCGAGAACCCTTTCTTTACGTGAACAGATATAGATTATTAAAGATGAAAGTGTCAATTGCAGCAAAAACACTTAGTGCCAGTATGGCAGCTGCACTTGAAACTCTAATAGATTCAAAAGAAAATATTCCTTCAGAAGCAATCGAAACGGCTTTCTTTGTAAAAGACGCAAATGATTTATTCGACACTTTCAACTCCACTGGTATTAATATGCGTAACAACCACTGCAATCCAAAGCTAAGATGTGCTTTAACAAAGAAATCTGATCATTTTGATTTTTGGAATAAAATGGAAAAAAAAATCGAAAGTTGGAAATTTTATGACGAAGTACGTGGTCAATTCAAAACAACTATGCCCTTTAAAGAAGGTTGGTTAAATAACATTCGTGGAATTAGACTTCTTTGGCAGATGTGTGAAAAAAATGAATTCAAATTTTTGCGAACAAGAATGTTGAATCAGGATCCTCTAGAAAATTTATTTTCAGTGATACGACAATACGGTTCAGGAAATAGTAATCCATCGTGTTTTCAATTTATATCGGCGTTAAAAACAAGTATTTTGAATAATTTGATAGCATATCAAGCATATGGTAAGAATTGTGAAGAAGATGTAGGAAAACTTCTCGATAATCTTAGAATATTTTTATCCTCGTTATCAAAACCAACAAATTTTCAGTTTACAGAAAATATCAATGAGTTGGTAAATTTAGAAAATTCTAGCTCAACTAATAGAGCTGCATTTAAAGATTTATATGATCTTCAGGCTATTACATATGTTTGTGGCTTTTTAATAAAAAAATTAAAAGCTATCACATGTAAAGACTGTAAAAATTGTATAATTGCACAAAAAACCGAAGAACATCATATTTTCACTCTTTACAAAGAACAGGATCAAAAATTAAGGTTGAAATATGCTACAAAAGAATTTGTAACATGCTTAGCTGAGATTTACGATACCATAGTCTTCTTTTTAGATAATTTTGGAGAAGTTCCAAATATTGCAAGAAATTTAAAAGAACATATAACAGCAACAATTAACTTTACTTGGATTAACTGTGACATTCATATTGCTGATTTAAGAACGGAAATTATTAATTTGGCAGTGCGTCTAATAATAAATAAAAAATTGACCAATCTGCAAAAACAATTTGAAGTACATAATCGTAGAAGAATTAATAATTCAAATAGGTTTTAAAATTAACACCTACCCGTAGTTTCAAGAGTTTTTTTTAAGCAGTTTGTAATAACCCAAACCTCCCGCCTTTTATTTGACATTGAACAAAATTTGAAAAAGCCCGCTAAATTTTAAAATTTGACCTTGGCTGTGATCGTCTACAAAAGTGGGACCCTACATTGTGTTTTGAAAACTGGCGGGAGGCGTTCGTTCATACAAATTGGCGCACTGCGGAGCGGGAAGAGTGACGGATTTAAAAAACTTATATTTGGAAAAAAAAAACTATGAAAAATAAATCCAATAAGAGCTCAAGAGACCTTGGCCAAGGGCCCCAGAAGAGCTTAAAGAATTTATTCCTCAGAGAAAAAAAAACCTTTATTTTCACTCGAACCTGAGAACATAGAATAAATATTAGCAACCTTACAAGTACAACAAAAAAAAAAAGCAAAATAAAAAGTCGCGGAACTCTCAGAAAGTAAATGGATGGCAACGTTCCAGATATTATGGCAGTGTGGCCTCTACAAACAAAATGGGGGGCGCACAGCGGGGGCAGGGCGACGGCCACACTCCCCGTGAAGGTCCACATAGTCCTACCTCACCACTTCACGTGCGTGGTCTTACGCACCCACCTGACATAGGTTGACCTTCCTGTTTCCCGCGTCCAAGTAGCTGTGTAAACTCCGAGTCCGCTAGGGCCGGAAGTCTAGCAAGACCCGCAGACACTCGCACGGAGACGCCGACGCCACCGCGTCCACGCCACACGACCCCCGAGTTAACTAGCGTTATCAGAATGAGTATTTGGATTTCAGACAAGCAATAAGCGTAATTTAATTGGCCACACTCCATCAACACTTGTTTTAAATAACAAAGAAATTGAAATGAGATTAAATTATGCACGTGTGATCAACAATCTTATGCAATAAAGAAAATGAAGTGAGAAATTATTCATGTTTTTATCAATAACTTTAAAGAACAAGAATTTTTGAAAGAGATTAAATTATTCACATTTTGGCAATGATTTTAATGAAATATTTATCTGACATTAAACAACGAAGTTACGACTGCATTAAAATGATCTGGGCAAAGTTACGTTGTTGACCGAATTAAACAAACAAACCCCCCTCCCTTCAACACATCCCCAAACAAAAGACACATAAATAAAAACACATACGAAATAAACAGAACAACACATAAAAATGCGACACATAAAATATGCAAAATAAATAAAATATAGGTAATCGTAGGTGCACATTCAATTTGAATTGTACCTTTCTTTCAATAACATTCATTTTCAAATTCATCAACAGTTTTCGGTCAACAACAAATCCCCAATGACTAATACAAAAATTCACAAAGGTTGCCCTTGAAATTCCCCGGTCAACACCCCGTACCTGCACCCTACCACTTTCTCTTTCTATTTTGAACGGCTGAATATTTGAAAAACTACATGAAATTTTCCAGCATTAGAGTTTACAACAACCGGATAATAAATCGAGGAAAAGCCATTCAAATATCTTAGATCTTATAATGTCAGCCAAATTGATGTGCCTAATTAATCCATGTTATTAACACAAAGGAAAAAAAATCCCCCGTCCCCCAGACTCTAATATTATTAATTTTCTAATGCCTTTCTCAGCGTTAATTTTAGTTAAAGATTCGCTTGTTCAGATCATGTTTGAATTTACTTTACTCACACGTGCTCAAATTATGCAACGCAAAATAATAACTCGAAAATCGCCATCCAACTTTCCGCATAACATTCGCTAAATAAAACTGCCCTAGCTAACGTAATTCCCTGAAAGGCCCTACTAAAACGGATTGAAATTATGTTGAAAAGATTAGTACGAAAATTATCGGCCATGGCGTCATCCGGAAGTGCCGCCATTTTTGGTAGCGTCCGTTCGCGTATGTGACGCCCGCGAAGCTCACAGGTGTGGTTCCCGCGTCTCACCTACTCCGTAACCATCGAGAAGCAACGCCGCTTCTTCCACCAGCACACACGGAATCACGTGGAAAACATACCTCTCGGATCTTCAAACCAAATACGTGCTCACCACCGAAATAACCTCTCTGTGTTCGAACGTAGCAGAGAATTCTTACGTTCGCTGGTTCGTCAGGGGGGTGGAACTCCGTTAGAAGAAACCAGCACTAGAACAGGAAACAAACAGCGCACAGACATTTGAAAAAACACAGAGAGCACCAACCTGACGTCTTACTCGAAAGAAAGACCAAGTCGAACTGCCCGCGACTCACCCCGCTCAAACACACCCTTCTGCGCATCTCTCTCTTAGTGGTTTTCGTTTCTTTCCATTTCCATCCCTTTTCTTACCAAAAGTTTGGCGCGCGGAAATTTGGTTCGAAACGGCTTACTACAGACGTCCCCCAGCGTCTTCGGAGTGGAGTGTCAGCGCAACGAGCGGAGGCGCTTACTTAAATGGTAGGCCGTTGAGATTTGGATGCGTCCCCCCGTTTCTTGTGTACCTGTTGGTAGGAAGCGGCAGTGCCACTGGTGGCTAGCTGGTTACCACCTATTGGATGAGAAAAAAAACAAATAAGTACATATACAACAGAAAATACACTCTTCCGGGGCAGTGCATCGACATTGCATCCTGGTCACGGCACCAATTCTGTAATAACCCAAACCTCCCGCCTTTTATTTGACATTGAACAAAATTTGAAAAAGCCCGCTAAATTTTAAAATTTGACCTTGGCTGTGATCGTCTACAAAAGTGGGACCCTACATTGTGTTTTGAAAACTGGCGGGAGGCGTTCGTTCATACAAATTGGCGCACTGCGGAGCGGGAAGAGTGACGGATTTAAAAAACTTATATTTGGAAAAAAAAAACTATGAAAAATAAATCCAATAAGAGCTCAAGAGACCTTGGCCAAGGGCCCCAGAAGAGCTTAAAGAATTTATTCCTCAGAGAAAAAAAAACCTTTATTTTCACTCGAACCTGAGAACATAGAATAAATATTAGCAACCTTACAAGTACAACAAAAAAAAAAAGCAAAATAAAAAGTCGCGGAACTCTCAGAAAGTAAATGGATGGCAACGTTCCAGATATTATGGCAGTGTGGCCTCTACAAACAAAATGGGGGGCGCACAGCGGGGGCAGGGCGACGGCCACACTCCCCGTGAAGGTCCACATAGTCCTACCTCACCACTTCACGTGCGTGGTCTTACGCACCCACCTGACATAGGTTGACCTTCCTGTTTCCCGCGTCCAAGTAGCTGTGTAAACTCCGAGTCCGCTAGGGCCGGAAGTCTAGCAAGACCCGCAGACACTCGCACGGAGACGCCGACGCCACCGCGTCCACGCCACACGACCCCCGAGTTAACTAGCGTTATCAGAATGAGTATTTGGATTTCAGACAAGCAATAAGCGTAATTTAATTGGCCACACTCCATCAACACTTGTTTTAAATAACAAAGAAATTGAAATGAGATTAAATTATGCACGTGTGATCAACAATCTTATGCAATAAAGAAAATGAAGTGAGAAATTATTCATGTTTTTATCAATAACTTTAAAGAACAAGAATTTTTGAAAGAGATTAAATTATTCACATTTTGGCAATGATTTTAATGAAATATTTATCTGACATTAAACAACGAAGTTACGACTGCATTAAAATGATCTGGGCAAAGTTACGTTGTTGACCGAATTAAACAAACAAACCCCCCTCCCTTCAACACATCCCCAAACAAAAGACACATAAATAAAAACACATACGAAATAAACAGAACAACACATAAAAATGCGACACATAAAATATGCAAAATAAATAAAATATAGGTAATCGTAGGTGCACATTCAATTTGAATTGTACCTTTCTTTCAATAACATTCATTTTCAAATTCATCAACAGTTTTCGGTCAACAACAAATCCCCAATGACTAATACAAAAATTCACAAAGGTTGCCCTTGAAATTCCCCGGTCAACACCCCGTACCTGCACCCTACCACTTTCTCTTTCTATTTTGAACGGCTGAATATTTGAAAAACTACATGAAATTTTCCAGCATTAGAGTTTACAACAACCGGATAATAAATCGAGGAAAAGCCATTCAAATATCTTAGATCTTATAATGTCAGCCAAATTGATGTGCCTAATTAATCCATGTTATTAACACAAAGGAAAAAAAATCCCCCGTCCCCCAGACTCTAATATTATTAATTTTCTAATGCCTTTCTCAGCGTTAATTTTAGTTAAAGATTCGCTTGTTCAGATCATGTTTGAATTTACTTTACTCACACGTGCTCAAATTATGCAACGCAAAATAATAACTCGAAAATCGCCATCCAACTTTCCGCATAACATTCGCTAAATAAAACTGCCCTAGCTAACGTAATTCCCTGAAAGGCCCTACTAAAACGGATTGAAATTATGTTGAAAAGATTAGTACGAAAATTATCGGCCATGGCGTCATCCGGAAGTGCCGCCATTTTTGGTAGCGTCCGTTCGCGTATGTGACGCCCGCGAAGCTCACAGGTGTGGTTCCCGCGTCTCACCTACTCCGTAACCATCGAGAAGCAACGCCGCTTCTTCCACCAGCACACACGGAATCACGTGGAAAACATACCTCTCGGATCTTCAAACCAAATACGTGCTCACCACCGAAATAACCTCTCTGTGTTCGAACGTAGCAGAGAATTCTTACGTTCGCTGGTTCGTCAGGGGGGTGGAACTCCGTTAGAAGAAACCAGCACTAGAACAGGAAACAAACAGCGCACAGACATTTGAAAAAACACAGAGAGCACCAACCTGACGTCTTACTCGAAAGAAAGACCAAGTCGAACTGCCCGCGACTCACCCCGCTCAAACACACCCTTCTGCGCATCTCTCTCTTAGTGGTTTTCGTTTCTTTCCATTTCCATCCCTTTTCTTACCAAAAGTTTGGCGCGCGGAAATTTGGTTCGAAACGGCTTACTACAAGTTTGTAATTAAATTATTTTTTTTAGGTATTTCGAAATGAAATTGTTTTTCTTTGAGAGTTGTTTTGTAATTTTGTCATTGTTATCAAATATATGTTTTTCATTACTGAATTTAGTTTCATTTTTATAGAATTAAAATTGTAATTATAAATAAAATTACTACTATAGTAATTATAATCTAGTAATCAGTGGATTTAATTCATGCAGGAGCTCGAGCAACGCTGTAATCGCCACATTAAATCGTAGTGGTTTTTGAACGTCTTTCTATTTGGTCTGTGGTCGCGGTCCAAACAGTAGAAAATTAGAAATCTATAATACCGACTCCGGTTTGAACAGGAGGGTATTCTATGGGTTTGAAGCTGTCATGCTTATGGTGTTGTGAGTGACATTCGCAAAATTTTTATATTAAATTACAAAATAATTATTTAGAAATAACTACAAAACACAAATACAATCCACGTCTGTAAAGATCAATATTTAGCGGTGATAAAAACGCTGTAAAAATGTTAATTAAAGTTAAAGTAAGCATCTTTAGGTTAGGCGCAAACGGCAGGGTTATATTTAAAGTATTATTTTTTAGACTCTTACGGGAAAAGAAATAGAAATCGACATAGAACCAACAGATAAAGTTGAACGAATTAAGGAAAGAGTAGAAGAAAAAGAAGGAATTCCTCCACAACAACAGAGGTTAATTTTTTCTGGAAAGCAGATGTAAGAAACAAAAACCACGTTTTTATTTGTTTCTTTATAAGCTAAATGTAGTCTTTTAAAAACACAAGTTTATGAGCTTAACGTTTGAAATATTTTCAAAACAGTACTAATTTTGGTTGTATTAATGTGTAATGTTATTTGTTTTCTTTTAGGAACGATGAGAAGACTGCCCAAGACTATAAAGTTCAAGGTGGATCTGTTCTGCATTTAGTATTAGCGCTTCGAGGAGGAAAATGAATTGTTCATTACTTTGTTGCTGAGGGATTAATTATAATTAGGTTATAATGTAATGATTATTGAAACATTTTGCTGAAGCTTTGCTCTTTTTGTTTTAATAAATTTGTAATGTGATCGATTTTTGTTTATTTGTAGATATGTACTGTAAAAACCAAAACATAAATTGCTTACAGTTACTCTTAGCAATCTAGAATTTGTATTCCGTCCAGCGCGAGATTCAGTCCCTAACCTGCGGTTGTTTTGTGTCCTGTGGTCTGTGGTCCTCAAGGATGATTGTGAGCGGTTCTAGTAACGTTAACTGGAGTTCTGTGTACTTTGTGAAATTTAAGCATATTTGAGAAGAAAGATAAGTTTCTCATTATGAATAAGGCGCTTTTAACGAAGGTGTTAATTGATCTCAATGCAAAATTTGCAGGTAAGAAAAAAAAACATTCTGAAACCTAACCTCAAAACTTTGGGACGACGACCACGATGTAACGATGTTCCAAAACTTTATTAGAGTCGAAATAACAACAAAAATGACTGTAATATAATATTTACAAAATCGTGCCATACTATCAGTTACTATTATGTTTGTATTTTATTTTTACCTAAATAATCAAGGAAATAATTATGAGGAAATTATGTTCGGAAACCAAAATACCAAACTCCAGTACTAGGTAAAACGGGAAAATTTTGTTCGTTAAGTGATAGTGACGTACCTACCTAGGTATAAGATTTCTGCTAGAGCAAGAGAGGGATTAACACTAAAATAGTTGTATAACACCTAAGAGAACAAAAGAACAAAAATCTGCTTCTGAAATTTCAATTAACAAAATTGTAGTCATAGTATACCCTCTGTTGTAGGGTTTTCTATGACTATAGGCACTAATTAATCTTGTGCTTATGCCAATAAACACAATTACCGTTAAATATGTTTTTTTATTCGTTACTGTCTCTGTGTGTACATCTGGTTGTCTATATTATAATCAAGCATTAATATAAAATCATTAATTAATGATAATTACCCATATTAATCAACGATTAAACGATATTAATTATTTTCTCCTTTTTTGTTTAACTCAAAGAATATAAGCGCAGAAAAAGTACTGTGCAACATGTGAGAAAGTGCTCTTTCACGCTCGTTTTAATGTGGCACTCGACTTTGTCCTGTGCCAACAACTTCAACACTAGTGTGTAAGATGCAACTTTCGACACTTGTTATACAATATACTATGAAGTACATTGCATAGTGATCAGGTCAGGTCAGGTCATAAATATCTAATTTTTCTGTAATATTGTGCATTTGTTAAATTTTATTTTCTCGTTACTAAATGAATCTTGCGTGATAGCAAAAAAGGAAGTTTATGTTCATAATTAGGAACACAACAGGTATGCAAAAAAGAGTTGTTAAAACATAAACAGGTTTATAACATTTAACTTTTGCAGGCCTTTATATAAAAAAGATTTTAAAATTAAATCTTTACGCGGTGGTGATATTAAGTATAATACCTAGGAGGTAAAAATAAGATCTGGAAACACCTTTTTTTCAATCAAAACCCGATTTGAGTTCAGTATTTTGTACATAAATACAAATAAATACAAATTAAACAGTAGAGTTACAGTGAAATATTTAATAAAATTTCTAAATTAATAAATTAGTAAAGCTCAGTTTGTTCAGTTCAGTTAATTGCTTAAATTGCTTTCGTTTTAATGTCGACTTTCTAGAGTCGGCAGCATTTGTCAGAATCCTAGCTCCATTATGTAAGTACATACACATTTTACAGTGTAAATTTCAAAATTTCGATTACGAAATATACCACATTATAAAAACGTTACGTTTGTTGATATTACCTTACTTAAAAGCCCGAATCCCAATACGTTTATTTACGCTTTCTACTTTTAAAATTGTTATGTAGTTAAAATTTTTAAGTTTTACTCGTGACCTTGAGATATACATACATATATGCACCTATACACTCGTTAGTGACAGAAGTGTAATTTTAAGGATTATTAATGTGAAAGTTGAGTAATGCTAAAATAAGTCTTACAAAAGTGCAGGGTTAATCATGAGAAGCTCTTCGCCCAAAAAGTTTTGTTTACACCTTTGTCACAGAAACTACACGTTGCCACTAGAACTGGACTGGGATCCGTTCCGACCGTGCTCGGCAGGATTGAGTTACTATCGCGGGTTCTAATTTTCACTATGCGTGAACACGTATGATAAATATTCTTGGATAATCTTCTCGGTAATACAGACATTCGGAAACAACTACACAGTACACACCGCCTATATTAATAATATTTGGGCACATAACGCAAGGGTCGACAAAAATCGTCATATATTACGCCGATTGATAATGTCCATAAAATTTTGTGGATTGTTTGAACTTGCTTATTTACGTGAACATGACGAAAATAGGCAATCACAAAATCCAGGTATATTTCGAGGTCTGATTGATTTTAAGGCCGAATTGGACTCTGCTTTATCAAATCATTTGAAAGAAGCAACGGTTTTTAAAGGAACGCCTAAAACTGTTGAAAATGAACTTTTAGATGCCTTGAACGTAAAATTTTAACCGAAGGCAAAAAGGTATGTGGAGAAATCCTTTTTTACTTTTATTGGATGAATTTTTGTATTTATTTCCGTCACACAATTTCGTCTATTAATTGGTAATAACAACCTGTTCTATATCTTCATATTTAACTAATCAATCAAATTGTGTCCCCCCATTTCAAAAGGTCACGAGCCGCCACTGGAAAACTATGTTTTACCATGGCCGACTAGTATAAAGATTATGGCCTGTCCAAGAGGTACGATACGTGCTGCCATCTATTAATAATTACACTTAATAATTTAGCAAAATTTTAATTTGACTTGACATTATGGGACTTCAAAACGTGTAATGGTGGTTTGTTTCGGTATGAATGCCTTTGTGCCTTTCAAAAAGTGTTAATAATGCTTTTGTCGTTTTTGAATTATTAATAGATGGCAGCACGTATGGTACCTTTGGCATTCCTTTGGACAGGCCATAATCTTTATACTAGTCGGCCATGGTTTTACTTTATATTGTCAATGATATGAAATATCAAAGGTGGTTCTGAAGTAGTATTTCTGCTTGCATTTTTGAATTTTCTTATGCCCCTTGTACAGGGTGATTCATGAATAGTATCTGATTTCGTTTTTACTTCCTGAGCGTAAGCGACCAACTTGGATGCATTAAAAAAAAACGCATACGCTTGTTTGTAAAATGAAATAACCCCTGATGTGATGGCACGTGTAAGAAGGTTGCTCATGAGACGTTTGGAGGCATGTGAACGAAGTAGCAGAGGACATTTTGAACGCCGTTCCGTTAATTTTCATATTGTGTTTTATCTTTCAATAATTAAAGATTATTTTTGTTACAATTATTTTGACATTTGGTTGACACTTTTATTTCATTTTTCTGATATCGGATTACTATGTTCACAAGATTTTATTCAAATTGAAAAACAACGAAGGAAGAATCCCAGTGGATAGTAATTTGGGTTGCAGAAAAACAGGCGCTACATTTGACACTATACGTGAATCACTCCGTATATACCTGAAGAATAGAAGCATTGTGTTTATTTGGTTGCATAACACGGATAGCTCACAAAGAATAATAAATTCGTTGTACTAGGAACTAAAATCGAGAAACACAAGGGGCATGGCCATTGTAGTGTTGCAGGACATATCTCCAATATGGTTCCAATGCTAAACAACATGGTGTTTTTATCTTTCCTAATTGGTATGATGTAGTAAACGGTGCAAGATGATAAAAGGCGTCGTTTTATGGCTAACAATTTCTTACTACCTTTGGACGGTACTTTTTTTGAAATATTAAAAAAATAACAGTGGAAATGAACTGATTACCAAACATATTAATAATTTCCTATTTTTTTTTTATTAACCATTTTGTAACATTTGTAAATTTTAAGTTCCCATCGGTTTAAAGATAGATTTGACTTTTTTGAATTTTCCGGCCAACCAAAATGTTAAGCTTTTTGAAAAAAAAAAAATAATAATAAAAACTTGTTCTGTAGACGAATTCTGAGAGTTTTTGTTATTATTAAGATTTAAGACTTTTGGAGCATCCAAAGAAGTTGTCCATTGTCAAGTAAATGAACATAAAAGACCTTGCGAGCAGTAGGTATATATTCAATATAATTTACTAAAAGGAGCTTGTTTGCATCTAGAAAATATAATTCATTGACACTCTGTTAGTAAGAAATAAATATTTTTATCAAATCTATTGAGTTATTTTTTATTTTTCACTTTTGGAAACATCAGTAAAAATGAAATCGAAATAGAGGACTTTTTGGTATTTATTGTTTAGAAACTAAGATAGATGTTTAAAAGTTTATAAAATGACACATTTCGTTAGTACATTTTTGGTCTAATTTAACCGAATGCATGTTTCTTGGAGTTTATCGCATCCCAAAGAAAAATAAAGAATTCAAATTTACGAGTATCTAAGATTTTGTTGCAGAAATCATTTCTTCAGTTTTGAAATCAGTTTGCAAATATATAGACCGTTAGTTAATCCAGACACTAGGGAAATCAGAGAACGCGAATTTTTGTTTACTGAGCTGTGAAAAGCTAACAAACCGTAAATTATATCAACTAGAAAACTTACCGTAACAATTTAAAATTTAGTAGCCTAAAAATCCTCTGAAATTATTAACAAATTTTTGGTACAAAAAAATATAATGCAACTTTTTTTATTATGTAACCTACCTTGTAATTTTTATGATTACACAACAAAGATCACAAAGTGCACTTTAAGTAGCTTGATCACTATGACACTGTCGATTTCCTATAATTTCGCATCGATATCTTTGTTATAACATAAATTAAATTATCGATATTTTATACTCCCTCACCCCTTAATGTCTTTTTGAATGAGTAAAAGTAATAATTAATTAATTACTTTTTTGTAGATCCTAATGAAGATTTTGAAAAATCCTTTCAAACAAATTATGAGGAAATTTTAAATCTGCTTTCATGTTCGTCTGACGACATTTTACGAAGACTTACAACATTTGCTGAAATGTTGGACTTAAAAAAGCACACTTGTGAATCTAAATTTATAAGCCTGAATTTTTATCTCTTGGAATTACTTAATGAAGTACTTTCAAAATCAGATATGGAAGTATTGAGTGTCCAAGAGATGAAAAACATTAAAGCTGCTCTAAAAAGCTTAATGTTGCACGGAATCTTAAAGAAATTACAACCGAAATTACCTCATCGTGTAGTTACACATAAATCCGTGGAAAATATTGAAGCAGTAGATGACATTTTTTATAACTACACGCTGTTGAAATGCACAGTTTTGGGTTTTTATAACTGCATAAAACATCCAAATTTAAGAATGTTGATTATACCACACTTTCTTCAAGAGATACTTGTTGCAGTATATCAAATAGGCTACTGCCCGTTGAAGAAACCCGAAAACACAAGTGATACAATTTTTTTTATGACCGAAGAAACATACACCAAATTAACACAGGATCAAAAGTTGTTCAAAGAACTGTTGGAAAATTTGGGTCAATCCATTCATCCAACAATTTTTATTAAAGAAACTATGATTTTGTTTCAAGCGAATGCACCTGTTTGGTTCAAAAGAGCCATTGCGAATACTCTAACTAAGAAAATGAGATCCAAGAAGGGTGTTCAACATATTGCTTCAGCAATGTTAGACGGTTCTGATGATGACACCACAAAGACGTGGAAAATTCTAGATATCTTAACTAAACTCATATTAAGTTGTCGAACATTTCCAGACTTTAGCGATAATATTTGCGCACAAGTTTTGAATCTGTTGAATTTAACAAAAACAACAAGTCGTGAAATGATGATTTTTGAACGGCTGGTTGTGTCTTGCACGAAGTGTTTGTATTCTGAAGATAAAGAATTGTGTAAGGTAGTTTTTGTAGAGAGAATAACGACTCCTTTATTACAGTTTGTTAATAAGGAACACAAGTTTCGTGACCATTGTGATATAACGGATGACATAAAACACACAGTGCGCCTCCTTTACGGATGTTTTGCAGATAATTCAGTTAATTCACCGTGCTTACCTATAAACCTGTTGAGAATTTTTTTGAATGTTATGTTTTATTTTTATCACCTAACTGTCAAGTCGACGTTTCAGTCCACGAATATGGAATTGAGGGAACTTTTAATTAAATACTTGCAAGGTCGCACCACATCAGAATATCATGAACTATTAGACAACTTTTTATTTGGTTTTACCGTTACGGATATTCGCCAAATTAGAAATGATGTCATTATAAAAGTTGAAGAAAAAATTGTTATTGAAAATAGCTCACAGTCTATAATTTATGCCACGGCAGAGGTAATAGATACTGTGTATAATTTATTGGACACTGGTCAAAAAATTATCTTGTTTGGATACTTGTTAAAGTGCATAACGGACAAGGAAAAATATTTTTTGGCGCCACATAACAGTACAGAATTGTTAGCTAACGAAGATCATGCAACAAGTACCGTTCTTGAACGACTTTTAACAATTCACAAACTGCTGTCTCAATTATCTGAAAACAAAGATGTTCAGCGATCTCTTTGGAAAAAGCCGGATGATATCATCGAATACATAAATAACGTTTTGTTTTGTGGCACAAAAGATTCGCAGTTAATCTTCGTTGTTGTCATGATTTTGGATAATTTAGTTTCGAATTCATCTGCAAGCGCTATTCCCAAGTACAAAATCTTAATCGAACCTTTATCCACGGTAGCTCAAGAAACAAAGGAAGTTGAATTAAAATCGCTTTGTAATAAAATAATAATTAGGTTAAAAGAAGATAAACTTCAAACCCCAAAACATGAAAAAGAAATAACAGAATTCGAACAAGCTTTAGAAGATGTGTCTGACCCTCTACTGCCTACGAGAGGGCATGGTCTACTTGTTTTGTCGAAACTTATCGAAAATAAAGACAAACAAACACTCGAAAGGAAACAGTATTTACTTAACTTATTTCAGGTATTTATTTAAAATGAATTTGGATATTATTTATTATAGAGTGTTCCCTTCTAGTTACATTTAAAAGATGACGATTCATTTATTTATTTGAATGCAGTCCAAGGGCTTGCGTCTTTAGCGGATATTTTCCCGGATACAACTTTGGAAATTTTATGTGAAGAATATACGGATTTTTCGAAAAAAAATGACGCTATACAGGAAACACGTATCAAATTGGGAGAGGCTTTGGTTCGTGTTGTAAAACTTTTGGGTAAGTAAGTCTTTATTAAAATAAATCCGCATGCGATTCAATAAAGGTCAAAAAATGTGATGAAATATTATTGTATGGCTGTTGAAATGATGGTGCAGAAGGTAAAATTTATTTGAGATACCGTTAATGTAACGTATTTGGAATTAGCAGCGTCATTGCAGTCTATTGTGAATTATTTATAGTCACTGCAGCATAAAGGGCATGCTGTGGGTAGGTTGCAATTTATGACACCAAGAACGTCTTTACTAAGCACTTAATTGATAGTAAATTATGGTTTGTTGAAATTATTGTTAGTAAAGCTCTTTTTGGTTCGGTAAATAGGTAATTAAGATTTGACCTTATGTGTCGTCGTAGCACAAATTACTTTCTCATTGTAGTTTCATAGCAAAACTTGTTTAGTTTAAGTAAAAACTAACAATAATAATAATATTTTTATTTATTTTTTGCTGCAAAAATAATTAATAGTTTCACATTTGTTTTAAAAAATTCGATTCGCAAAATCCACTTTCATTTGATGTTAATATTAATTAAATGCGCTCTATTAAAAGCGTGGAATTAATACAAAAATTATTGCGACTTCTAATCTTTTTTTCATTTTTAACTAGGTTTTATTACTGTTTTCTTTAGGTGAGATGGCTCCTAAATATAAGTCCCTATTGTTAAATACGTTCTTATTTGCAACGAAGGATGACGATCATCTGATAAGAGCTTCCAGTTTGTCTAATTTGGGCGAAGTGTGCAGAGTTTTAAATTATAAACTTGGAAGTATCGTAACTGAGGTAGGTGTAATTTCCCACGAAAAGAACAGTTTTAGAGACCCGTGAGCTGAGTGTGAATCATTATAGCGGAAGGCTTTTATCTCTTCAGAATTCTAATTATCATATTTGCATTAATCCTCAGGTTTTGGTTTGTGTACATGCCATCATTACAACAGATAAAGCCGTGGAGGCACGACGTGCTGCAGTTACAGTTATACGGCAGCTGTTCGTCGGTCTGCAAAGTGAGATGATAGCATTCCTCAAAGACGAGATCTTACCTATTTATAGGAGTCTGAAAGAAGTATATTACCACGATAAGGACGACGTTATGAGATTGCAAGCGCAACTTGCTTTAGAGGAACTCAATGAAAATATGAAAAATATTGTATTTCCGAATCCTCAACTTCATCTGGAAAAGAAGATTATTATGATGGACTGAGAAGTAGGTTAAAGAAACACGTTTTATATTTTACAAAACTTTTATCATTGGTTGTATGAAGTTGTAAAGGAAAAATAAATAAATAGTCAATTGCATACTATACATGGTGTTCTTATTTCAATTGAAAGTGCGAACACCTAGTATATAGACCGAATACGCAATTGTTAGACAAAACCCCAAAAATAAAAAATAAATTATAATAAACAGATATTACTAGTTTCTGTTTTTAATCACATCACTTTGCTGATTATAATTCAATCAGTATCCCATTCGCTGCAAATTTTCATGGTAATATTATACATGTATTACTTGCGTCTGGGAGCGATCTTGAGAAACTACTTCCATATCTGGTGTCGTGCTACAACTACTTGTAGACACTTCTGAGGCAATCGAAACATCATCAAATTCTTGAAGTAGTTTTTTGTTGGAAATCTTTAGAGCTATTGCGATGATTCCTATCACTCCAGCTATGGATAACATCGCTATTACGATGACAGGAACTGCGTTGGTCTTTGACAAGGACTCAGAAGATATCGGCTCTTCTTTCACTGAAAATAAAAAATGTTTATAGGCTTTTAAACACAGAGCGTGCAGTGAAAGTCTAATGTGAGAATGAAGTTTGAAAGGTAGGTTTTTGTGCTTAAACATATTATATCAAATTTTTCAAAGAGTGTACCAGAGAATTATATTTCGTCAGAATAATCATATTGTAATAATAGTTAATTAATATAACAATATGTCGGTGCGTCTCTTTAAAAAAGTAAAAAATTTCAATATAATTACAAAAAATGCTTGAGAAAATAGAAACAGAACAAAAACCAGAATAATAAAACACAGGTGTTGTATTTGAAAAAACTGAAATCTCGATATTTGAAAATTGTATCATTTTAGATTTTTTTATAGACATTCTATATATCACGACCCCATTTTATTTATGCCACAACAAAGCCCGTACCTTTGTTTATCTCTATACAAAATATTTTGAGAAAATCTCTATTGCAATTTTTTGTGAGCCCTTACATTGGTAAAAATTTCAAGGAAATTGAAATAACGTGGCATCAGAAGTATAAAGAACTGTGTAAACCCTAAGAATAGGTAAATCAGAATTTCTAAAAATGTACATATAGGATATCCGTTTGAAAATAGTAAGTTTTCTATTTCCAATAATTAATGAGATATCAAGCAACGCGCGCTTAGTGACTCACTCCGTGTATGCGTCAAAATAACTCTTTATTCAAACTTCTTTCGGTATCGCTTAGGAAATAAAAACGAATTACCCTATAAATTTTTTGTTTCATATTAGGTTCAATGATAATAGTGGCTAATTATGTTTTATATATCTAAATAAATACCTGGTCAAGAATGTTATGCCCCAGATTTTGTTTTTTTCCGTATACGTTTCCGAAATGAATTTTGAAAGATACCACCTGCACTAAGCACACCGTTTTGTATTTAGTTAACTGTGACATCAACAGTAATGTAGGTAACCTGTTGTGGTGACTAGATTTGAATTAATATTTCGCACTAAAAAAAAACAACGGCGCGAAATCGCATTTGAATAATTTGAATTTGAAAAAAAAAATCAATTAAGAAAATCGTTAAACATAGGCAACCATGTGCAAGTTTAGTTCCTTTTTGGTAGTTGGTAGTTCTGCTAGGAAATATGTAGGTAGAGGGTTGGCAGTGAAGTTTACTTGTTTGCTAGAGGGTAGGTAGCGCGTCACTGTTGTTTTGGTTTGGCGAGTGAAAGCATGCGGTAAGAAACCTAGGTTAAGTTTAGTTGGTTTGGTAGTTAAAGAAAAAAGGGGAAGCCTTTGTTTAATAACAATTAATCGTAACGACGCCACAGTTTCCCCAACACGCGTAACTAATTCTTGCGGTTTTTCCAAGCGGAAATATGCGAATTTTCGACCGACGCTAACACGTGGTGTAAATTTGTTTTGTTGTTTGTAAATTCACAGTTCATGTTCGGATTTTAATCGTTACTGGTTCTAATACAATTTAACAGTCATGAGATTATTTAGATAAAGCACTTGCTAGGAGATTTCATGAAATTCACTTAGTAAGGACTCATCCTTTGTTTATCAAATCAGGAGTAAGATTGCTGGATGCTTATACTTAAGTGTTACATTATAACACATCTTCATTCCTCACACAGGATTGCTAATAGTTCATTTACGGCAGTTAAATCAACCTAACGTCCCATTCTGGGAAAAGGTCCGTGAAAGTGCGGTAGAATTTATAATATCGTAGACTGAGGTCGGAAGGATTAAATTTTTCCCCTTAGGAAGTTATTATCATCAAATCATCATCAACTCATCGAGACATATTTATTTCTGGCGATGTTGGAAATTACACCACCGAGGAGCATTTCTCGCGACGCTGGATACATTTTGTGTTTATTTATCATGTGTTTGTTTGGGATAAGCTGGAGACAGTCCACGATATAAACTCTCAAAGCTAATTGTTTTAAGTAATCAATCACTTGGATCATGGCATAATTTAATATAATGTGAATTCTTCGTTTGAATCGATGATAATGTGTGGCATTTTAACATCACGTAAATTCTTTGTTTGAATCGTTGATAAAGTGTGACAAATATTGACCTCGTGTAATTTTGCGAGCTTTGCAATTTTTCGCCTCATACAATTTTTCTCTATCTCGCAATTTTAGCCTCAGTAAATTTCTTTGCTGTACAATTTATATTGAACTTTTTATCTGCACAAGTTTTACTTCACACCTGATCTTTTTACTTCCCGAGCGTAAGCAAAGGAAGTATTGTAATCGAGTCCGTCGGCCGACTCTCTACTTTTACGTTTTCTCGATCTTTCATGACCCCTAGAAGACGAAGAAATAGGTCTCCCATTTCCGTCTGTCTGTCCGTCTGTCCGTCCGTCTGTCCGTCTGTCCGTCTGTCCGTCCGTCTGTCCGTCCGTCTGTCCGTCTGTTGTCCCGGATTTTTATTAGACAGATAATCTCCGAAAGTACTCGACCGATTGTTGTGAAATTTTGTACTTACGAGTATATTAAGAATATCATGTAGATGGTAAAACGCTAACCAAAATTTGTCTAATCATCCCCACCACTAATGCGATGACGTCACTTCAAAATTGTACATAGTAAATGGGTTTTCAATTGTATAAAATAACATAGTCCTACACATGTAGTTTACAACTCCGAATCGACTTTTCACTCGAAACGTCCAGATTTTTGGAAAAAAAATCAAAATTATAAAACAACATTTTGAAATTTAATTTTTAATCTGCTAACCAGAATGCTTTGAAATGTTGCAGATGTTTTAAGGCTATAAAGAGCATCATAAATCTTTAGTCAAAAAATATTTGCTTATCCCCTCCAAAAACTTGATGACGTCAGCTCAAAAGTTTGTGGAATAAATCATATCTAAAATGTACAAAATATGATGAGTCTGTACTTGTGATCTATCACTCCATTCATATTTTTTGGATTTGCATATACAGGGTGACTCAAAAAAATTAATGAATGCGTAAATTTATTTTACTAATTTACTCAGAAACTACAAAACCGAATGCTTTGAAATCTTGCAGATGTTTTAAGGTTATGAAGAGCATAATAAATGTTTAGTCAAAATATATTTGCTTATCCCCTCCAAAAAATTGATGACGTCAGCTCGAAAATTTGCCGAATAAATCCTATCTAAACTGTAAAAATATGATGAGTCTGTACTTGTAATTTATCACTCCATTCATATTTTTTGGATTTGCATATACAGGGTGACTCAAAAAAATTAATGAACGCGTAAATATATTTTATTGATTTAATCAGGAACTACAAAACCGAATGCTCTGAAATCTTGCAGATGTTTTAAGGTCATAAAGAGCATAATAAATGTTTAGTCAAAATATATTTGCTTATCCCCTCCAAAAACTTGATGACGTCAGCTCGAAAGTTTGCCGAATAAATCCTATCTAAACTGTAAAAATATGATGAGTCTGTACTTGTAATTTATCACTCCATTCATATTTTTTGGATTTGCATATACAGGGTGACTCAAAAAAATTAATGAACGCGTAAATATATTTTATTGATTTAATCAGGAACTACAAAACCGAATGCTCTGAAATCTTGCAGATGTTTTAAGGTCATAAAGAGCATAATAAATGTTTAGTCAAAATATATTTGCTTATCCCCTCCAAAAACTTGATGACGTCAGCTCGAAAGTTTGCCGAATAAATCCTATCTAAACTGTACAAAATATGATGAGTCTGTACTTGTGATTTATCACTCCATTGATTTTTTTTTGGATTTGCATATACAGGGTGACTCAAAAAAATTAATGAATGCGTAAATTTATTTTATTGATTTACTCAGGAACTACAAAACCGAATTCTTTGAAATCCACTGCGAAAAAAAAAAACATAATAGGCATGCAGTCGTCACGTTTCCGACAGCGAGGGAAGTACTGTCTAAACTCTTTAGACCAATTTTTTGTTTTTGTAAATCGTTGCTAGTTTTTTTTTTTCATGTAAATATTTTGTTCATTAATGCTTCCATCATATGAATTGTCTGCTATCCAATCTTAAAACCATATAAGAATTCTTTGCTGTTTAAAATTTCACCAGAGTGTATGGCGAATTTAAATGTTGTTTACTTATTGTTCTTTTTGAAACTTTAACACTTTTTCAGTTGTAGTTTAATATCAGAGTTACAGAAATTGAACATTTAAATGGAATTGAGGTAAATAACACAGAAACACGTGGCGGAAGCGGAGTGCGCGGTTCCTTGTCGAGTTGGCGGTCGCGCCATCTGCACGAAAAACGGAGGGTTTGAATAGAAGTCACAGGAGCGGTCGAGATGATGTGACGCTGTCAGCATATCTATAGCCGTAATTTTCAACCACGAGTTTGCGACGTAACGGCCTGCTCGTACGACACGTTCGTAATGGAGGGGTGCTGTGCAGCAGTGCTTGCCGATAGAATAGAATCACCGTCGTGGGGGGAGAACAACCAGGAGCCCCAAACTCCGCTCGTGCTACAACGCCATGGGTATTTTTGCTGTTCTCTAGAATGGAATTGATATAGTTCGATCGCCACACTCTTATAGCGCTCTGGTGCCGCTGTCGCTGCATAGAGTGTTTATTGAAATTTTGTTCTCTTGTTGACTGCCATAATTTTAAATTTGCCGCCACACGTAATAACTTGTGTATTTGCATCCAGTTACTTTAATTACGATTTTTTTCTTTGTTTTTCTTAAATTTGTGATTTTCAAATATTTGCATTGATTCAAAAATTTGATTTCATTCAAAGTTAGGCAAGTTTTTTTCTAGCTGAGCATTAATGGTGTCTTCAACCGGCACAACTTAGTCGCAGCTTTTTTTCTTTTTTTTTTGTCAGTGGAGGAATAAATGATCTTGTATCCTTCATATATTTTGTGTTTTATTTAGCGGTACTTTTCCAACCTTGGGGTCGACCACTTGCATCTGAACGGATTTCGTCACAAAAAAAAAATAAACACAATGTAGGATTGCATTTTGTTAGACGATCACTGCCAAGGCCAAATTTTTGAATTTTTGAATTTTTCGCGGGCTTTCAATTTTTTTGGGTTATCACACTGTATATTCCCTCTTTTTTTGGTCTTTACTCGATTAAAGGGATTTCTTAGGTGCAATGGTTCACTAAATAATAAAGGAAGTAAGAAAAGATTATAATAATTGTAAACTAAAATATTTCTTTTTTTAAGAATAATTTAAAGTTTCATTTTTTCTTCTATCTGATTAATTAATACTTTTCTATAAGTACAGAAAAATGCTTGCTAATCTTTTTTGAAAATACGTTATCAACAATATAGAGTTTTACAGTTGTATGCAAAAACATGGAACACCAACGTTAATAGGTTTCGTACCTAAGATTTATGCTTTGTGTTGCTGTTGGGATTTCCAAGATAATTGAGGAGTCATCAAAATCTTTATAGACAGAGGTACGCACAAGTGTCACTATTAATTTTTTTATATTGTAAGAATAAGGTAAGTACGTAATAACTTGCGGTTTAAAGCTATTTTCATCAGAGGAGAAGTCTAACAGATTAATAAAACGAGTTATCCGTAAGGAATAGAATCAATTTTCGAGTAAAGCCTTCATGAGATTTTGAATTTAATGTTAAGAGTTCATTAGTGAAAATATTCTCCAATATTTGATGTACTTTACCCCACTTTTACATATTTTTTGTCGTTATAACTTACAAGTAGGTGGGTAGCACAACCTTGGCAGTTGTGAGTATAACATAAGTAAATGCAGTGTTGTATTTTTTTACAGACACCTAAGTAAATAAAAAGTATTTCGGCACTTCGGGCCACGAAAATTTCACAACCCTGAAAGGTGATGGAAATTTACAAATATTGCTGTTGCATATTTACATTAAAAAGAAAAAAACAAAAGGAATAGTATTCAACAAAAGCTCCGATGAATTTATGAAACTAATGAAAAAATATAAGTGTTACACTGAACAAAACAAAGTAATTACTAATTACATTCGTTTTTTTTTCAGTACCCATATGCTGGAAAAACTGAAACTCCTAGCTTTAAAAAAAGAGAAATTATAATCTTTTGGTTTTAATGAAGGTAAGGTTTTACCGATTAAAAAGAAATCTAGCGCAGTGAGATGTTGTACACCTTTTAAGAACAACCTACTTATTTCACTTCCTTATATTTAATTAGATGAAATTATTATTACGAATGACGTACTCATCCATTGAACTGGTTTCTTACTCACACAGTGAAACTTGCACTCCTTTAGATACTTTCTTTGGCGTCTTGTATTCTATATGTATAATTTATTAAGAATAATTTATCGTATTGTTTAACACATTTATGACTCACCGTGTTTTCGTTTTAGAACAACCGGAGTGTGACAGTAAGAAACTTTCTCGCAACCATTCAGAACTAAGCAAATTACTCATGAAATTACCTACACATTCATTTTCGTATTCTTCCGACAAAAATGTATTACCGAGACTACTTTGATTCCGCTACATCACAATATTGTTCGATACTCAGACTCACCTAACGCTTCAGGTTTTTGTAACAGCCGTCCAGTTCTCAAATTACGTCCTCGCCTTCCTAAAGAATTATCTTCTTCATATGGTACCGGAGCCATGTGCGCTTGTCCGCGACCGGAATGTCCCGTTGGTAAGTTTATTCCGGCACGTACTGTCAGCGTTTCCGGTTGATACGAACACAACACTAGAAATCGCCTAGTGCTGTGAGTCAAAATTGGTAGATTTTCTTGAACAATAACGAAAGTAGCGACAGTAGTTTCATTTACTTGACTACCACATTCTGTGTGATTGATCCTTAGGGTGTATATATCACGAGGACTAGTAACATCACCATCTAACGCACAACGTTCACCGTCTGCTGCTTCAACAGCAATTCGTCCACCAAAAAAGGGACCTGTTGAGACTTCAATTTCACTGGCATCGGGAAGACATTGCGTGGCTTTGGCTGAAACTGAAAGAAATTCAAATTGAAATAATTAAATTATTATTGATTTTAAATAGAAACGGTATTTTAATCGTTCCTTGTTGCTAAAAATTATAGTTGCTCTTGCAACCGCACGTGTTAAATCGCACATACATATTTAAATGCATATTAAACCTATTAAAATAAATGAGTCATTTAACGTAGCCATTAATTATCCAGGTGTTTAACTACATAGTCAGATGATCAGTTGACAACAAAGTGGTCATTACAAATTTTTGTTTTCAGTGATGTACTGAAACAAAAACTAGAATAATTAATCAAAGCATTCTTAAAATAACTGTTCAGTTTTGAACTAATGCCCAAGAACATTCTTTTAGTTGCTTTAGTAAATAGTACTTGATTCTAATTATTGTTAAAGCTTTTACCCATTTGTTACCTTGACGAGAATCCGTAGATAGCATTTTCTATTGTGTGCACTATTACACGAAATGTAAAGTGCATTAACTCATCAAATGGACGTCCGTATGTATGTATGTATGTTTTGGCATCTAAGTCTTTTAAATAATGACAGTAATTAGTTGGTGTGTTTTTTATCAGGATATAACGGTGTTGTTGTATTAACTAGCCTGTGGTCTCGATTGTTGTGCTAAATTGTTATCACCATCGGGATAAAGAAGTTTAGCTTTCATCAAATAGCAACCGACGTTTTCCATTTGTCAGCCTGACCTGAATAATGTGTCTTTGATCGTAATGTCTAAGTGTGCAGATATTTGTTTTTTATTTTTGATCAAACTCCAAAAACTTGATCTACATTTAAGCCAGGTGTATAAACACATGGCTTAAAACCGTAAACGAGTTGTGGGAGTGAAGAGAATGTTCGTTGTGGATTTTAAATCTTAGTAATATGTCATTTTCTTGTAAGGGTAGAATGTAGCAATCGCCAATTTTTTCAAAAAATAACTACAAACATAAAGTCACATTAGAGTTCATTCTATTGGCGACATTTTTTATACACCATTAGATGAGCTTCATAACGATATGTTAACCGAATTTTCAACGGAAAATGTTGATAAATATAGTTAAAGGATGTTACAAATAATTAACAATTTAATTTTTCACGTTATGTATAAATTTATTAAAACTTTTTAAGATTGACATTACATAATTTGTGATGTTTTTTATTTTGCCATAGGAAAAATTGTATCTGTAACAGGAGTGAAAAATTTATGTAGCCCTTATTCTAGCTTTTCATTTTCGTTTAACTCTAATCTTAGGTTTTGTTTTATTTTTCGTTCTGGATTCATAAGTAACTATTATTAGAGAATCGGTCTGAATAAATACATCTATATAACTTGGGGATTGAGTGCATGGTATAATACTTCCACGGGGCACAAAGGTGTAATATAGCCACAAAATACGTGAATAACCATATTTTTCTATAGTCGGCAGGATATATTGTATTACTTTAAAACTGTTCAAAAATGAAGTTCAAATATTTGAAAAAAATAGTCGGTATTCGTGTTACATACAACTAAATATTTGAAACAATTTATTAAGTTGTAAAAAGGGGTCAAATTTTATATGAAACAAAAAAAAATGTGTGCTGATAAACTTTAATATAAACATCAATAGAAACTAATACGTCCGTTCCTGTAATTAAATCGCTTTTATTTGTTATGTAGTCGAATTTTTTATGGATTTTTTTATGATGTAGCGGGTTCCGATGATCGGTAATAAAATAGTTATTTGTGCAACTATACGTTAAGTGATACTTTGGCAAACGAGAACTGTTTTTTTTTGAGACGCTAGAGAAAAGTTAAAAAATCATTCAAAAATCCTAAGACGTTGTGAGAATTGATTTTTTTTTTCCACAGTGAAATAAATTTTGTGGTAACAATTTAACTTTGTGCTTTTTATATTTTAGAGAAAAAATACTTAAAACGTGGTCTAAGGTAATTTAGATAGAACTTTTTTCTTCTGCCCCTGAAGTTCAATCAAACAAATCAACCTTCCATGTTAAAATAAAGATATGTGTGAACTGTTATTAGAGTATAAGTAAAAAAGCATCTTATGCATGCTTCAAATGAGTTTCTCATAACAAAATGTTGCGATGATGTCATCAACTTTTTAGAAAGGACACATACTCTTTGTTCGAAAAAAAGCCCAAGTCCGCAGCTGTCTTATTTTTTCAAATACAGCACTGTGTGATATGTCAAATTAAATCGTTTTAAATGTGCAACGATGGGATTTAAAAAAATAGCTTTTAACGTTTTTGTCTACGACGTCCAAAATTTTTTTATGTATTTTTTGGAGATTCCTGTAGACAATTTTTTCTGAATTCATTAATAAATCATACTATTTTATTAAAAAACACTGGACAAGATGAGAAAGTCAGATTCTCATGGATCAATGAAAAGCACTGGGAATAAGACGTTCACATGTCACCGTCATTTGTCCAGGTTTTTTTTTTAATACAATCGTACCTTTATAATTTCAGACATTAATAATTTGCAATAAAATTTTGTGTTGACTTATTGTTATTTTCGTGTGGAAGAAATTTAATTTTCAAATTTAAGCAGGTACCCAAATAATTGTGTTAATAAATTCTTCATAGTCGTCTTAATACAAAAATAAAATTAATTTTTAACACAACTTTTCAACAAAACATGACAACATTATACATCAATGTACAAAAATATAGGGTGTATGAAGATATAAGGCCGCGGAGTTTTAATTGAGATATGAAATATGATACCTTTAATGAAATTTTCTGATGACGTCAATTTTTTAGTGGATAAAAGTAGTAATTTTGACACATATGATGCTAATAAAAATAGTAATGTGTTCCCAAAATTTTTGGGCAAAGTGGATACGCCGTTTTTGATTGAAAGAGTTATTAACTGATTCCTCGTCCTGTCTAAACGATTATAACTAAATAACATAAAAATATATAATAAAATAACTAAAAATATTCTACTAAGAGCATTGGATCTCAAAGCATATTTTAAAGAAGAGATGAATATATTTTAATTTGTGTTCTGTAAAAAAAGTTGTTTTGTAGCTCATAAAATAAGTTGCAAAATTGGCTGAAATATTAAGCCATTAGTATCTTAAAACTTTTGAGAAATGTAAATATAACACTATAAATTTTAGGGGAGAATTACTTAATAAAATTTTGAGATGACGTAATCAAGTTTTTAGGAGGAACGAATAATTCAATTCTGATCTTGCTCATCATAACTTTTAGGTGCATATAAAATTTCAAAGCGTCTAAATTAAGTTGTGTAATTTTCTTATACAATTTTTAAATTTTCCCAGAACGTACATTGATACAACTTTCGTTTAGCGTTTTACCAAAAACATAATATTCTTAAAATATATTGAAATTTCATGACAGTCAGTTCAGTAGTTTTTGAAGATATAAAATCGTCAACCGACGTTCGCAGATGGAAACGGGAAACCTAATTTTTCATTTTTTAAAAACTATGAATTTGTCAAAAGGATGCTACACTTTCCTAACTTACTACAGCCATGAAGTAAAAATCTAGCAAACTATTTTTTTTATATAAAATTTTGAAGTACATTTTTTCTTTTGTCAGTGCAGTTAGATATAATTTCAAAATAATACTTACATCCTTTGGTAGGAATAACAATAATATTTTGATATTTGTCATCTCCTGCTCTGTCTTCTCGTTCTCCCTGCTCTTTTGCCTTCTTGATCTCAAATGAATAAGTTGTGGCCATTCTAAGTCCTTTCACATCAGCAGTGTAAATTTTAACTTGATCATCTATCTCATTTTCTTCCGCCTCTGTCACTAACTGTGTTCTACACCTCTGTGCACCCCATGTTTGAAGTTCACAGTATCTGATTTGAAATTCAGGCTGTGAATCACCTTGATCATGAGCTTCCCAGTGAAGTCGTACCTTCCTATAATCCGGTTCACCAGCAAGATTTTTGATATCTGTAAAAAATTAATGTGATTTCGTTAGTAAAACAGCGTAGTTGTTGAACGAATGCGTTGGTTATGGTCTCAATTTTTTGTCGCAAAAATGAATAAGGTAACCTGGTTAAGATAATTTACATTAATTGTTTCTACATCTTCATTCCGTTATTGTGTTAGTTTGGGAACGTGAAGTACCTAATTAAGGCTACATCAGTCATATGGTGTGACGATGACATTCCAGTCAGGGACAAAAGTGACAAACAATTAACTGCTTGAAATAAAACCACCGTTTCACTGTTAAGACGATTGGAGAAATATGTAACGCTTATCAGCTTTCATTATAACGGATAATACACATTAGATAATGGTCCTTTTTTCCATGTTCTCCCGTTAGTAATGTTAGAAACAGTTACTAGTCGCTATGGTGGGTTTTGTATAACAATCCCATTCATCAAGTGACCTTCTATTGCTATGCACAATCATGGTTCAGTGGTTTCATTTGGCCTATTGTTAAAATATTTAATTAACTATTACTTTCTTAAATGAATTCGGAAACGATGAGAAAAAGTTCAACAATTAACGTACTAATCAAGTTGTTAAATTTGTTCGTAGCAGTCACTGTTATTTCTTAATAAGTTATTTACAATTATCGTTGTTAACTAACTCAGCTACATATAAATTTTTCTTTACACAATAATTACTTCTTTATTGCAATTTTTCACTTGAAGAACACTCACGGTCATTTGAAATTACTCAGTGAGATTCAACGACTCACAAACCTGTAAGGAGAATTTATTGATGTGGAAATATTTTGTTAAAGGTGAAAATGTTATGTATTTTATTTCTTATTTCAGTGGACCAAAGTGTATGCAAGTGCTTAGCTGTTATGTAACTCATCGAGTACTGTCATGAACTTTTAACTTTAATAATAATAATTATTATTTGTATATCTAACTGAGTGACATTTTATCAAAATAACCAGTTGTTATTACTATGTGCCGTATTCTGATATTTAGCGTTAGTGAATATAAATTAAGACATTTATTAGAATTTTATGATATAGTTTTCATAATAAACTAGCGACAATGCTAAACATTTTTAGTGAAGTTGTCAAGTTCACCATTTATATTTTGCAAATATTTAATAAATAATAATAGATAATAATGGAACATTAATGTAAGTTAGAATTGTAAATAAATTTGGAAGTAATTTTGTTGTTCTAGCGTTTATCAAGTTAACAAAATAAATATTAACATAAATTCAATAAATAATCATTTTTGCAGTAAATCTGCATACGATACTCATATTTTTGTAAAATTTTTGTTGATTAAAGTGCTGGTAAAGGTTATTTATTTTGTTGTAGAACACACTACCACTTTTGTATTAAAGTACATAATATTACACTGTTTACGGTTTATTATAAAATGTGGGTAGTTTACGTTATTACAGTAAGTGTGGAATTTTTACTTTATCCACAAAACGTTTTACCTATTTACAAATAAAGAACAAATTATAAAGGTGAAATATGCGGTGCATGCATTATTTTCCTTATTATTAGTCTCTAGAAGAATATTGTAACTTCCTCATTAGTGTAAGAACAATTTATGACAACAAGAAGATTAAAAGCTATGTTGAATTCCGCATAACTGTTAACATTTTGTGAGTTTATTTAGTAACTAATTTTTATTGTGACATTGGCAATATGGCAATGCTGAATTAGTTTTCGTTCTAGTATCTGACTAATAGTAGTTTCCGTGGACGATAAACTGATGTTTACGAGAAGTTAAATTCTATTGTACATAGTTTCAGCACATTTTTTGAAAATGAATATCGCATCTCCCTTTTCATTTAAATGGAAATGTATGCGTTTTGTTGCTTAAAAACAATTATAGCCTATTAACCCAGCTTACGCTCGGGGACTACCCTGGACAATTGTACTATACTATAATTATAAGACACTGTGTCATAGACTGCTCTGTAGTAAATGTTAATGAAGCTTTTGTTGTTTATTAGTTTTGTAAAGACTTTATACCAAAGAGTTATTAGATATTATTTGTGAAGTCTACAACGCACATCAATTTGGTCTTCCCGTTATGAGTTAATATCTACTAATTCCCAGAACCTTGGCGTACAACCACATCTTTATATCACAACTATTTGATATTAAATTTAAATTTGCTGCAGTCATTTAACTTTACGTCAGATATTGAAATCTTTTATAGTCTTAAATAGTTCTTCATGACAGACTGATCATACACTGTAATATATAACAATAGCTCTATCATCAGTGTACATAAAGACTCTATCATCGTTTATGAATTCTGGCAGATCGTTGTTGAACAGCACAAAGGTTAGTGGGTCCCTTACGCTACTCTGCGGAGTATCAATATTAATGGAACATTTTTTGCGTCGATCTTACAGGTAGCTACACAATACAAATATGAGACGTTAAAATAGTCCGCTTTTTTGATGTATATATTTAGGTATCAGTGTTATACTCTAAATATGTGTTAAATTGCTAGTTAACAGTTAACTCAGTTATATCGAAAACGTTTCGTTCTTTGTACCATTCCATCAATTTATTTTCTTAATTTTGTATGGTTATCATAAATGTATCTCCTATTAATATCAATACGACAGAAGGGACCTACTTCCTATTTATATGAAATATTCTTTAGGTTTATGTTACACAGATAAGCCGTTTTGATTCAATAATAACATTACAGACGCAGCAGCGGAATCTAAGAATATTATTTCTTATTCTTTTTTTAATTTTTATGGTTTCTTAACAATGCAAAATAAAGATATCTGATTCAATAGAACCATGGGAGTTCGCGCTGAGTAAATTTCAATGAACCATTTGTTGAGAGACAGTTAATTCAATTTTCCTGGACAGTTGCAGTTGATTCGATGGAAGTACCATCACCACGTTCGTGTATACCGAGCAGGCGAAAGTTAATAACGGCGGTTCAGATCACTGTATTTTTTTTACATATGGCTATTAATCTGTGGTAATTTTTAATAACTTGATAAATAAGCCCAAATTAATATGTCGTTGAGTCTTTTAATTTTTTATGCTTTCGAACAAAAATGTTCGATGTGCTGTTTTGTTACAAAGTACTACTGTCAGCACAATGACTGGAAATAGTGCAATTAAAAGTAATGCATTACTGTAATTGAATTACATTAATTAGTATTGACTAATTGCAATTAATCAGTGTTTTCTCGTAACCTGAGGAAATGTTTCCGATTTAAGAATGTATTTTTTTATTACTTATGAAAATAGTTATTGGTATTAAGAAAAGGCGTGAATACAGAAGCAAGTAAAAGAGGGCTTTTGATTTATGTCGCATTAAAAGTTTGAAGAGTTGTAAAATGATGACTTACCGAATTTTCATCGCAATCGAATGAATGGTTACGAACGTATACGGGACAAGCACACATTAATTTGTATACATAAGAGAAGAAGAAGAAGAAGAAGAAGAAGAGGAAGACTACTGGAGAAAGTGCATTTCATCAACCTTGGCCTTTCGAATGTGTGCAAAGCCAAGCATTATAGACCGAGCGCAAATTAGAACCCGAGACGCGCAGCGTCGAGGGCTCTGAAGCGCGAGGTCTAGAAGTGGCTTTGCAACCGTGGTTAATATACTATTTTTTTCACTAGTAGAAACCATAAGACAATAAATTGAAAAAATAAACGTTCAATTTTTTGACGCAACATTATTTTGTTTTGATTTCTAATCAAACTTGATCTAAATTTTCAACACAAAGAAAACCGTTTACACTTGTCGCTGAGTTAATCATTTTATCTCCCACCGTCTACCAACTACCATACGTATACTCAAGTAATGTTAATAGCACACATTTATTCATTTTTTAAGAAATAATCACATCAAGTATTGCGTACATAACCTCAATCTTCTTATTGAACCCGTGGTCGCAAAAGTTGAATTTGCTCCCTCTAAATCAGTCGACAATTGCAAGCTTCATGGCTGCTAGTGAAAAAAGTAAATTACAATCCTTGGCGCAGCATCCTCAAATATACCACATTTTGATACGTATTTTTTTTATTTACATAAAAAAACTTGTGGTGAAAAGGTCTTTCAGAAGATGGCAACGTTCTTAAACTGATAAAATTTACCAATTTCTGTAGAGGTGGCAGTGGGACAATAATTCCAGCGTAAGGCACAGTTAATACCTATATTTTGCGATCAAGATTTTCAGCTTCTTTTGATATATGATAGTACAGATTAAAGGATATGACTAGTTTAGCAACAAGGCTTCAGTCAAATTGCACAGTAACAGTTCCAAAACATTAAAATCACGTTTGAAATCCAACGTTGATGCGACAAAAGATGCTGTTTAAAGGAATGATGAATATGTTAGCGATATTGGAGATTACTGGTTTGTTACTGGAGTTACTATATTTACTATATTGTGTTTGTTAAGGTTGCTGCAAATTCTAATTTAGCAGTTACGTTAACTTGTTGGTCTGGACAAATCATTTGTTTTGTCAAAAGCACCATGAAGCTCCTACATGCCAACAAGAAAAATTTTTCCAAATTTATGATATTAAAAAAAATTATAATACGATACTACAACTTTGTAAAAATGTTTATAATTAAGTTACGGAAAGGTGCTAATTTAAATTAATGTAATAATTTAAGAGTTCCGTGGAAAATTATATAGCGTCCACATTTGATTTTCTAAAGGTTAGTAAAAGATACGTCATTTTTAAAAATTAAATTTAAATTAATTTAAAAGTAACAACAACAGCTTACAGTTAGTAGTTCTGATCCTTCTCTCGAAGTGGCCATGTTTAATATCATATAAACGGTAAAACCAAACTCAGATTTTTTTTCTTAGTATGACGTTGGGGGTTACTACTAATATTCGTCACTTAATCAATATCAACACAATGTAATTTTCTTTCCTTGATTTTTTGGCTCTGATTATGGTACCAGAAGATAACGAAACATGTTAACCCTCTCTCTATAATACATTTTTACATATCGTCG